CCTGATAACAATTTAATGATAACAAATGTAACATTTATCATACTTGTCACATTTTTATAGGACTGAAGCTAAAAATATGCAAATTGTGTGTCTACGGTCTCGTTATTTTTGTAAAAAAATATGTTTAATTAAAAATTTTAACTAAAACCACAATTTTATTGTTTTAGCCCTTAACATGTCAGATAGTAATCAGCAAGAAATACTTTTGTTCTTAATTGTCTTCCCTATATTTTTCTAAAAATATTAATGTGACAAGGTGTGACGGGGTTGAAGACTGTAACACATTTGAAGGGATACTGATATTGTCCCCTTGTTTCTGGGTCAACATATCTGCATGGCCAACATTGTCTTTCTGCTGCAAATGTGGGTGCAATTTCTGATGTATGATGCTTGTCAACGTTTAAGTGGACATTTTACATAAAAAATTCTATTTAAAACAAAAATATGAGTTGTCATGATTTTCGAGTACATATATTTACTGAAACCATGACTATTTCATTTTTTCATTAGAATTATGAATAAATGAAGCAAATAACTCAACCCTGTCACAAGTTTACAACCCCGTAACAATGAGAAATACATATATTTGTGACGGGGTTGTGTTTTTTCACTCAAAATGGCCACTGCTCCTCGTGTAGTGTAGGAGAGTAGACCATATATGGCAGCAATAAAATAAGTACATTGTATATACTTATTAATTAAAATAAAATGTTGAAAAAGTAATAATTTTCCATCTTAATTTTATGTAACGGGGGTGAGTTGTTAAGCTTGACAGTACCCTCCCTGACTATAACATGCCTCGAAAATATGAATAAAAAAGTATGATACTACTAACCATTTTCTGCACCACTATCAAAGAGACCTGAATGATGTCGTTTCTGGGAAATGATGTCACATATGAGTGGAGTCTAAATTATGATGGACGTAGAATGGTTAGTGTGACAGGGTTGAGTTCAGACTGAGGGACATAACTTGGTTTTTATAAAATATTTAGCTTTTTTTTTTTTACAAGAAAGGAACACACATAAATGCTTACATTGTCGCGAAAGATAACAGACACTACGCACATTTTGTTAATAATTTTCTAAGTACAAACTCAGTGAAGTGCCTCAGGGACATGACAAAATGCTTGGTTTAGGATATATATAAGACATTATTTTATGCTAAAAAATATTAAAATGCAATAATTATTTTTATTCGTTATAATGGGCATACCAAAGTTGCAAAGTTGTGAAAAGCTTAACAATTAATTTTGGTGAACCACCACTTTAGAAACTCTGGGGGACTGAAATATTACCGAATCCCATGAATGACCAGGTAGGATTGGGGTTAACTTGTGCTGATAACGCGTGCATTTATTAGCCTATATAATCACTGGAATGATCAAAAACACTAATTCCTTTGAGAATACGTAGCCTAATATTGACGATGAAAGCTTAAACAGTCAAATTCAGCAAATAATTGATTTCGGAAATAGTTTCAAGTTATCAATTTATATCAATGTCCAAATACAGTTGGACTCTTCTAGTTCATCAAATACTTCCGTGTTTCCTCGTGACTGTTCCACTGTTAAATATGTAGTCTCCACAAAATGTAGATGAACTACTAACACTGACCTTAACTTTTCACATACTATTTCTTTTAAAACATTTTCATAAAACAGTCTTTTCAACCTGATCAAATAGGCTACATATTGTGCAATCACATAGAGAGAGAGAGAACTAGCTGAATTCTAGCCTTGCCTTTAAGACAGTAGAAACAGAGGTCAAAATGATAACAAATTATCATGATTTTTTTTCAAATACACTAACTTCATATTATAACTATAAGATAAAATATATTTTAAAGTTTCTAAAAGTTTTTTTTTTGTTTTTTTTGTTTTTTGTAGCCTAGATGATTTTAATCTGAATAATCTTTTGTACACTGGAAAGTTCACTGAACCATAGATGCCAATAAAACCTTTACTTTGACGAGATATGTCCAGGAATGATTATGCACAAAGTTAAATCACAACATTCAGTTTGTGAAGTGGACACATAAAATGTGCAGGAAAGGCTTGGTTGATATTAGTGAACCATGACTGCTTGCTCTAACAAAGCACATAAAATGTCTTAATGAATATCTGTTAATGTGTTTTGTACACACTAGACCTTCAATAAAATGCAGTGATGCACACTGCGGTCTATAAAGCTGCGAGTCTGCGTCATCTTGTGTTAACTAAAAGGTATTAGGCACCATTTAATTTTATGAGTCATCAGTCATAGATTCCACATACTGTGGAGATACCATCATAAAACTTCAGTTTAGGGTCAGACAGGCTCTACATTTTACATCATTTTGTAAAATCAAATTTATCTAAAGCTGGATATTGTGCATTGTCATATAGTAGCCTTTACAAGGAGAAGACCATAACTTGCAGTAAAATCATGCATTCGAGTATACTAGTAAATTCTGAAAAAAAAAAAGGTTATATAGGATTATATAAATGGAGATTGATAATTCTCCATATATTAATAGGAGTAGCATATGCTCAGATTGCTGCCAGTGCCAGTGTGTTTTATTAGTGATATGCTCTGAATTCAGGCAGAAAACTGAATCAATCTCTACAATGTGCAACAGTGGCATCTAGCGTCCTAATTGTGTAAGGCTGGTAGTTTTTGTACCCTAATTTTGTTTTAAATAATGTATTTTGTGTTAAATTATATATGTAACTTTGCTTTTCTGTGACCAGGTGTCATTCAAGTTTTCTAGGATATACTGTAGATATTGTAGATAAGAACGAGGTGAAAAAAGTTGTGCTGTGAAATTTGAATATTTTGTAACATTCTAAATGTCACTACTATCGTTTTGATCAATGTATGCACCCTTGCTATTAAGGAATTATTAAAAAAAAAGTCCTACTGACCCCAAACATTTGAACTGTAGTGTATATAATTAGTTAGTTGGAATGGTTTGGAGGTGACTTCTTCTGTTCAGAAGAGAACTATTCCCTCTGGAACTTCCTATGGTATTTTAGAAGAGTGTTTTTTTTGTTAGGCTGCTGCTGACAAGTTGCTACTGTACATCATGGCTACAACTAGCACAAAAATGTGAGCTTAACCTAAAAACTAATTCAAATAATTATTTCTATAATATAATAAAAATAAAATGTATTTTTCTCTTCAGAAAATGGTTTTAATTGAAGAACAGTTCTTAAATTCAGGAAAAAAAATTTAATTGTTTAATTAATTTAATATCAATATGCCAAGTTTCTGTTAATAAGAAAATTTGAAAAAGAAAAGAAAAAATTTACTAGTTTGAGGTGGAAATAGGTTTGGATGTAAGATAAATTTAGGTTTTATAATTCAACATCAACTCTCTGCACTGTTCTTTAGAATCTAGATGATTGGCACCACAGTAACATGTAGTGTCTCTGTGAAACATCACAATATTATTATTTGTTCTAAAGGTTATAGTTGTTCAGTTTCCCTAAGGAAACATAAAAGGCTTGCTTTTAACTGGATTCAGCACTGACATGGTATCCTACGTGGGGACATGATGAAGAAACAAACGACAAACCTATCTACTGCACATTAATCTGTTTGGTCCTTTTGCTGTCTTTAAATGATTGCCACACATACCCACAACACTTGAAATTACAGAATTTACATTTAGTACGCTGATGAAAGAAAACTTATAAGTCCCCTGAGTCACTTTAACAAATAGTGTAGCTGGAAACATTTTATGTATAGCTGGACTGCTGAAAAAAGGTGGACAAATCAATCAAGGTTTTCCTTGACAGGATGTCAACAATGGATCCTTCAGACAGCTTGCTAAAATAATAGCATTGCTGTTCACTTACTGATATGTAACATATGCTTTATAGAATTGTTAGCTAGCCTGTTTGTCAGCTAATTATAACAAAGATGAAACTAGTTTATATGACAGGATTAACATTTACAACAGAAACTAAACTGCAAACTACAAAGGAATATACATACCATCAAATGACCATTGGCCATAAAACTGGCAATCGGCATGTGACAAATGAAATTCATACTTGGGTCAGAAAGTTTGGGCTGCCAAAATAATTTTTTATATCACAATGGACATTATGGCGATTACAGTAATAAAACGCAATGCCCATGCAGAGGTGTACACAAAATGACTGTAAACTATATACACTAATAAATAAATGTATACATACGTAGGTGTGTAACCTACTAGCTATTTATATGTATATAAACATAAGTATTATGCAATCATTTCATAATTTTTCCTTACATAGAACCTTTTTGGCATAAAAGGTTCTTTAAAAGTGAGTAAAGAAGATGAAACTAGTTTATATGACAGGATTAACATTTACAACAGAAACTAAACTGCAAACTACAAAGGAATATACATACCATCAAATGACCATTGGCCATAAAACTGGCAATCGGCATGTGACAAATGAAATTCATACTTGGGTCAGAAAGTTTGGGCTGCCAAAATAATTTTTTATATCACAATGGACATTATGGCGATTACAGTAATAAAACGCAATGCCCATGCAGAGGTGTACACAAAATGACTGTAAACTATATACACTAATAAATAAATGTATACATACGTAGGTGTGTAACCTACTAGCTATTTATATATATAAACATAAGTATTATGCAATCATTTCATAATTTTTCCTTACATAGAACCTTTTTGGCCTAAAAGGTTCTTTAAAAGTGAGTAAAGAACCCTAGGGTGTATAGAACCCACTGTACTTTTTTGTAAAGATTATACTGATAGACACCCTTAGATTTTTGTCTTCTAGTCACTGGGGTACCAGCATCTTTGTAAGCCCCTCCCCTGATGATGACGACATCACTTAAAGCCTACAAAGCCATTCTAATATCTATATATTAAATCCTTGCAAGACCAATTTTTTTTTTTAAATGCCTTTCTTGATTTGAGGAGGGTTTCAGTATTGAGAAGAGATTAAAGTTGAGAAAATATTTAAGAAAAGTTTAATTTCAGAATAACACTTGTAAAGATAAGATCAGAACATGTAAATGTAGTACAATCAAAGTAACTGTGGAGCAGGATGACTGCATGTGATCTCACAGGTATTTAGCACAAACATAGCCCAGTGAGGTTAAACAGGCTGCATCGTTCCAACGGTTATCTATGGGGTGAAAAAATGAAATATGTCATTTCTCATCATTATTGTCATGTTAGAATCAAAATAAAATATAATGTTTAAGACATGTTTGACAAATGAACCATTTCATGTTACTGGACTAAAAAAAAACAAAAAAAAAAACACTGCATTCTTACTTTCGAAGTTCAACTCCCCACAGTTCTCGGTACCCTTATTGTCAGGTTGTCCAGGGGCCCAGTAGGTGTAGTCAAACGGAGTTCCATCAGTCCACAACCACTGTCCTTCCTAAAGAGCAAAGACAGTTATTATAAGAGTGCTCTACTGTACTCAGACTCCATTTAGAAGGTCATTTAGTTCGGCTTTGAAGAGGTCAAACCATCTTCATTACAAACTTTGGAGATTTCAGTCATGACAGACAAACTAGACAAAGCAAAACAAAACAAAAAAAAAGTCACACAACTTTACTTACTTGTTCACCATCATGAGTACCAAACCAACAACGTGTGGTAGAAGGCAACAGACTCAGGAGAAAATCTTGTTCTATTTTATTATGTACAGATGCGAGATTTGCATCCAGACGTTGGCAGTTCTTCTAAAGACATAGATTTTTTATTGTCAATACAAAATACAGTCTTTTTAGCATAAAGCAGTTTTAAACAGCATTTGTAGTCATTTTCAAACAAAGTCAGGTCTGATTGATTATTTGCTCAGTATTAGTTTTCTGTCAAATTTATTTACAAAAAGGAAGTTTTATTTTAAAAATAATAAAAATCACCTTGTAACTAACACTTTACCTCTGCTGTGATCCAGTTGACCGCCTGAGAGAAGAACTTGTAGCATCGGACTCCAAAATTTGTCCATTCATAAGGGCATTTTTTAACTAAATTAACTATCCAGTAAAGAAACATACGAAATATTATAATATTATTATGATAAATATTAGTTGGTTGAATATCATACATTTCCTGCTATCCTTCTCCATAAAGCTACAAAACATCAAAGGTTTGGCAGAAAAGCTTTTAAAATTAATTAACGAGGAGTTTTTACAAATAAATATATTTGTTACCTTCTGCGTTCCCCATGGAGAACACAATGAAAAGAAGCAGAAGACTTCTCAGCATTGCCATGATGAAACTGAAAAAATAAAAGGTAAGCATTTAAAATTAAAAGTATGTATACTGCACATTGTGGATTGTCAATGTATTTTAAAGACAAAGATACTTTAAGTCAAAAGGTTATTCAGTAGGTCTCTGTGCCAAAACTCACCTTGTTTTTCAGATTGTTGCCTTCAGAATCTCAGAGGAAGAATTTGTGAAGTTCTAGAAAGAGCCCTGCTTTTATACTTTACTTGAAGTCAAGTGTGTATAACAGGGGTGTCCAAACTCGGTCCTGGAGGGCCGGTGTCCTGCAGAGTTTAGCT